TCCTTTCATTTATGTGATAGGGCTGCATTTAAAATGGACATTTACCACAAATTAAAGTTATCTTATATTATTAGATATATTATTATAAAACATGCTTTGGTTAAGGAGTTATTGATACTTCAAGTGCAAAATGATGATATAAAACCATGATAAAAATGCACTTTTAAGTACTAATCATCGGGTCATAAGACTATAACAACCCTATAAATAGAAAACTAAAATAAATTATAAAACACAATCCTTAATCAATTTAGTGTTGAAGAATGAAATTGAAAAAAAAAACATAAAAACACAACCTGAGTCAGCACATGTTACCCAACCAAATTTGCGATTTAGGTCATGAGACTGGGTAGCCTCATAAAAAATAAATTAAAATAAATTATAAAGCTCAAATACTTATCGACCCAATATTGAGGAAAAAATTAAAAAGAAATTCAATCTAACAAAAAAATAAGGACAAAATTAAAAAGAAATTCAATCTTACAAAAAACAAGTTTGAGCCAACTTGGACTAAGCCATAGAACCTGGGATATAGATCACATGACCGATATAACACCTTATAATTATTTATTTGAATGAAATTGAATAAAAAAGAAGGAAAAAAATGATGGATCCAACTAATAAAGGGCATGCACCTAACCTTAAAAGAAAAGGCCTGCCCATGTGTGAGGCCTTTTAGTTTTTTTTTGTGTTCTTTTTTTAATATTAGAGGGTAGATGATATATTGTCCACCTTTTAAGTTTTTCTAAAAAAATAATGTAAATGACATGTCATTTGTTTCACTAGAATCCAATGACTGAAAGGTTGCTAGAGAGTTAGGGCAGGTATATTTTACAACTAAAAATTTCTTTTTAAACCAATTTTGACCTAGAAGTATAAAAAAACCCCATAAAAAAGGATAGATGTGACAAAAATAAGGTTAAGGATTAGCCAAATAAAGGTGGTATGCATGATGGAATATGAAGCAAGAAAATGATGATTAAAGGCATATCTGAAGAGGGATGAGTGGAGACTTAAGTCAATCAATAGAGAATAAGGATACCATCCCAACAGTTGCACATCAAAAATTATAAATTACATATAAAATTACTATTATTTGGAGCAAAAATTATAGTTTATTGAAGTTTATTTGTGATCTGAATATAAGTACTTAAGTTACATTTGGTTATTGTTTTGGGATAGAAATAATAGAGATAGTGGAGATAAAAATATGTTTGGATGAAGATATAAAGACAAAGACACAAAAATAAATCTGTCTTTATAATAATTTTAGAGTGAATTTCTATACTTAAATAAAAAAAATACAGAAAGGACATGTCTCTAGAAACATTTTTTTTTATTTTTTATTCCTAAAATATCTTCTTCTTCTTGTTGTTTTTTTAAATCTCAATTCCAAAATTGTCTAACTAAGATATAAAATACAAATAATTATTGTCATAGTTTTAAAACTCAACTTGAGGGTTAATCTAAGACAAAACTTGGGTCACGATTTAGGTTGACTTGAGTTAACTCGAGTCAATATAAAAATAAAGTAGTTATTATTATAATTTCAAAACTCAATTCAGAGGATAACTTGTGGTAAGACTTTAGTCACGAGTGGGGTTGATCATTGATCCAGGTCAATATAATAACAAAAATGATTATTATTATAGTTTTAAAATTTGACCCAGGGATTTAGCTGGGGTAAGACCTAAGTCACATATCAAAAGGGTCAACATAAAATAAAAAAGTTATTTTTATAATTTTAAAACTTGATTTAAGGGTTAATGTAAGGATAAAAGTTGTTATTATTATAGTTTTAAAACCTGACTCGAGGATCGATCGAGACAAGATATAAGCCATAGGTCGAAAGAGTCAACACAGGTTGACTGGAGTCAATGTATAGATAGAAATGACTATTATAATAGTTTTAAAACCTGATTTGAGAGTCGACTCGAAATAAGGTTCAAGCCACACATCGTGAAGGTCAACTTGAATGACTTATTATTATTTTTTTAAATAATCAAAGCAACCTTGTTTTGACTATTTTTTAAATTAAAAATCAACAGGTTTTTGACCCATATTTTATTTTGGTTGACTTGGTTTTTTGATCAGGTCAGGTCAAATTAATACTTTCTCAATTTTTTACTAAACTTGAACTTGTTCAGGCTCGAGGTTAACAACCAAGTCAGTCTTGATTTTATAACTAGAGTTATTATAATATTATTAATTTTAATACTCTATATAAACTAAAGTTCAAAAAATAATATCTAATTATTTTTCTAAATATATAAGTTTGACAACAATAATATATATATATATATATATATATTATTCTGTGTTGTAAAAATTGTTATTTTATCTTGTATATTACTACCAAACACAATTTTATCTTTTTTTTTTATATTTCTACTACCTTTATTTCTTTTGTCTTGAGACACTAATTAAATATTACCTTAATGAGTATGCATGTGGATTAGATAAAAGCTTTTAATAGATAATATGGCGAATGGATGGAAGGGTAATATTGTCTAATAATAATAATATTGGAGATAAAAATAATAAAATTAAAAAACTTAAAACTTGATCGATATTAAGGTAATAAGTTAAGGGTTTGATTGAGATTTTTCATGTATTTACATGTTTTAGTTAGATATACCAAGAGTTTAACAATATTCATATATTATTCATTAAATTATGTATACCTTGAAATAGTAATTATATAAACAAAATTTATTTATTTATTCAGGTTAATTAAAATAAACATCATAATTTGAATCAAATTATCATCTGAAATTTATATTAATTACATAATTAAATTGAATTCTATTTTTTAAGGAACTCTGAAATATCTAAATAATTCAAAATTTATTATCAAATCAAATAGATATTTATTGAAATCCAAACATAACTCAAATTCTCAATAACTCTACTGCCTAACCTTACTTGCTCTTCAGTGTAAAACTCTACTGCCTAACCTTACTTGCTCTTTGGTGTAAAAAAAAATTAAAAAAATAATAATAAATATAAAGAAATGAGTAAAATGTTATTTTAAAAATAGCAGATATCATTTATATCATATTAAGATATTAGAAACTATCTTATTTTCTATAGTATTGGACAAAAAACAAATTAGAATTACAGGAAAAAAAAGAAAAAGATAACAAAGCAAAACAATAGGAAAAAAAATACTTAAAGAAATATTTGAAATTATAATAATAATTATTTTTTAAATATTTTTTTATAAATAATTAAAATTATATAATTTTATTTTTAAAATTTATTTTTAACAATAGCATATCAAAACAACTCAAAATTATATATGTATAAAAATTAATTTAAAGGACAAAATGTTTCAAAAATACTTTTAAATAAAAATAAATACATTTTTGAAGGATATTTGAAAATATAGTCTAATTAGGTGTGGTGTTTTTTTTTTGTGATATACAAACTATTTAATATATAAAAAAAAATCTAAGTTTTACATACGTTTTATTTTATTTTATAGTATATCCAAAAAAAAAAAAAAGACCTTGTCACATCCCTATTCCAGCACAGCCGTTAATGAGCACACACAGACAACAAACTTAAATATTAAAAAAAAAAAAACATATTACAGGCAAATCAATCAATCAATGGCAAGCAGTAATAACAATAGTAATAGTAGCAAGAGAGGAGGAGGAGACGAAGAGTTGAAAGAAATGACAGAGATAAGCAAAACCCTAAAAGAAGGGGAGAGAATTGTGGCTCCTAGCCGACGACCCGACGGTACTCTTAGAAAACCCATTCGGATTCGGGCTGGCTATGTCCCCCAAGACGAAGTCGCCATCTACCAATCCAAAGGTGCCCTGGTATGTTGAGTTTGCTTTGCAAATTACTAGCAGAATCATGGGTTTGGTTCCATTCACTTAATTTCCTGCAAAAAAGATGATATAGGCTTGGTTTGGTTTCTTGTATGATGAAATCAGTGGAGAAAGGAAATGCAATCTCAGGAAGTGCCTCCTGGTTATGATCCTGACTCCCATACAAAACCAAAAACTAAGGCCGTTAAAAGGAATGAAAGAAAGAAGGAAAAGCGGCATCAGGTCTGTTCCTTGATCCCATTTATTTTCGATTTTCCAGTTAGGACTCTCTCTACCTATACAAGTGTTAGTGTTTTCGTGATTTCCGCCGAAAAAATCCAGTCTGCTTCAAATTTTGAATATGCTGTGAAACTAGCTGCTTAAGTACCCATCCTTTTGTATGATCACTGAAACTGCTCTTTCTTGAGATCAAGATGCACATATGTTGAGCACCCATCTTTGTGATTCTCCATGACAAACTCACGCCACATGGTATCCAGCTGCCAACAGTTATTTCTTGCTAGCACACAACATTCGAAAAGTACCATATTTAACTATTTATGGTATGACATCGGATGCAACATGTATTTGATGGCTTGGAACCTGGACTCTTAATTTTATTTTGATTGTTGAAACACTCTGGCATTCTAATGTCTCAGTTGAATATTGCAAACTTCTTTGTTTGTGTCCAATGCCTTCGATTGTAAGCATAGGTATTTTATCTTCACCTTCAAATACTAGCGAGATTAATTTTTATGTATATTTCCTTTCTGGGTTCTTTCCTTTTCTTTGTGTGTTCTGTGACAAACCTTTACCGGCCATTGAAAGTTGTAGCAGATATAAGAGTTCAAAATCATTTGTATGGGTAGCAATTTTGCAGCAGTGGAATTAAAAATTTAGGCATCATAAATAACCAGGCAATCCATTTCATGACTAAAATATGACCAAGAAAGCAAGTGATCCAAATGCAGATTACAACAACATTTTGCAGCATTCAAACATGCAGATATCAAGGGGAAATAGACAAATCAACTATTAAAGCAATTAAAGGGGACTAGTTCATTGAAATACAGAGGTATTTCCTGAGATCAAGATGCTACAAAAAGTCAGAAAAGGAGATATAGTAGTTCTCTCAAACTATTGACTAGCAATGAATGATATCAAAGACACCTTATAAAGCAGGAAGGTATCAATGGGAATGGAAAATTGAATTTAGAGAAGTTTTGTGATTAAATCAAGATTTTATGTTTGTATTAGATTTTGACATGTCTAATCTCTTGTTACTTTTGGATGTTCTCCAATGGGTACTTTGTTATCGCTTCTGCTGTTTTGGCATGTAAAATAGCTCAATGCTTGAAGCAAAATTGAAATAGAGTCTCCTTCTATGACCCTTCGAAACAGAATATATATATAGAGTCTCCTTCTATGACCCCCTTTGAAACGGAATATATATATAAAGAAAGGAGGAAGAGTGCCTCTTCTATGGATAGTCTAAAGTTTACATGTGAATTTATAATCTCATCCATTGTTTGTACCGCTGGATAGGACAATAATTTCCTTTTTGTTGTTGTTTCGTAATCTATTTTATTTTTTTCTTCCTTTTAATTTGATGCAAATATACCCAACTCGTTTTCTTTAGCAGGCTGCACTTGAAAAGGGAAAAAACACAGAAGCAATCGAAGATGGAAACATGGTAAAGGGGGCGCTTCCAGATGAAGATTTAGGCCATGCATCTAACTCTGTTAAATCATTGACATCTCAGATGAATGAGCTAGCCGTTTCTTCAAATCCCACTGTAGTTGCTCCTTCCTCGGACTTGGTAGATGCTTCAAATATGGAGTCTCTGGTTCAAGATATTGATAAGAGAATTCGGGCTCTCAAAAAGAAGGTATATTTTAATCCTGCTTTTTAGCTTTGCCTAGTGATATTAATGGCTCACATGGTTTCCATTTATTATGTTTTGAACTCTTAAGGAATTATATAAGTTTTGCCTAAACATGTCAAAAGTGATGCTAAAACTTGAACTGACAAGTGATCTTCTGCTGCAAACAATGGAAGATAGCATGCGCATTCTTGATATTAAAAAATCTCAGTAAGAATCTGAAGATTTTACAGGTTTGAAATTAGTTTCAGGCACAATTAACAAATCGAATGGGCATTTTCTGCATATTGGATGATGGGATTGCTTTCTTTAAATGTGCATGTTTTATTATCCTGTTTTCTCAAATTACCTTCTCTGTTCAAGATGTGCATTGTGGGCTGTCTCTGAATGTTTTTTACAAAGTCATCCCTGATTATAATGGATAGATGTAAAAAACAATGGCAGCTGAGGAAAAGTTGTAGAAACCTATACAATTGCTGATGATTGTGAGCACAAGAATTGCATGTCCTCTTAATGCCTTGTTTGTTTCCAGGAATTCATTTTCCTGGAAACCATTTTCCTCACTTTCTTATATTTGGTAAACACAAGGAAAGTTGGTCAAGGAAACTGAATTCCAGTCAAAGAGAAAAGTAAAGCGTTATGGTAGGAAAGTGTTTTCCTTCTCTTATCTTAAGGAAAACACTTTCCTTTGTTTAAACAAAAAAAAACGTGTGCTGTCTCCTTCTCTTGTGACAAGCAAAAAATCACAGGACCACGTGTTTTCCTTGTTTTTTCATTTTTTTTTATTTCCTAGTGCTTTGGTAATAAGTACTAGAATATTGAAAATTTTATTCACATGGAGGATAAATGAATATGAGGGAGATGAGAATATAAAATATAAAATGAAAATAAGAATTTTTTTTTTTAAATAATATATATTTATATTTTATAAAATAAGCTATATATGAATATAGGATATAATAAAAAAAATTCATCATTACACTTTAGATTTTATTCTTTTATGATAAGTGATTAAATATTTATATTTAATATTTTCATATATTAGATAAATTTGAAAAAAAAATTAATTCATTAATAAATTATTTTCCTGTTTATTTTCCATAACATAACCAAACACTGAAAATTGTTTTCCAGTTTATTTTCCATAATACTATTAAACATTGTAAAATAATTCACTTTCCAGGAATTTACTTTTCAAGAAAACTATTTTCCAAAAAAAAACTACTTTCTAGCAAACAAACGAGGTCTAAATAGTCAGGGCAGGACTCACAATTTTGGGACCAAAAAAATTACTACTATTTCCTCAAGGGAGAAACAAGTATTACTACTGTAAGCATGTTACTTTTTCTCATTAAAATCCTAAGGTGAGTGTTATTAAAGATACATCAAGCTGTAAGTTTCTTCAGTGCTATTCAGTGTACATGAAGGACGAACCACCGTTTATGAGTGCACAAGGGCTGATGACATATGTGCTCTAAACTTGTATTATGCTATTATTATGCAAAATAACCCGTGAAGTCATTGCAAAAGGGGGGAAGTAATAATCTTGCTCCATTTGCAAAATGATGAACCAAACAAGTGTTGTGATGACTGATAAAAAAATTATAAAGGGCTCCGATGAATGCAAAATTCAAATTATAGTGATCACCACTTTCTCTAGTTCTTAGTATAAATTTTATTTTGGACTGGTTTTCTTTCTTCACTGTGAATTAGGAGCTGCCAAAACTGGGCATGGTCCATATGAATATTTACAGCTTTGTTTTTAATGGTGCAAATATTATTTCTTAAGAACAAATCCAGTTCATGTATTTCTTGAGGTCCTTCAAAAAACCACGAGTTTCATCTGTGGTATAAATAATCAAATTATAATTTCAATCACAAATGAGCGTTCATTTTTTGTATTTCGGAGGTTTCTAGCATTTTCTTTTGTTGCAAGGATGTAAGATTGTGTTGCTTTAATCCAAGAGATACAATTTTCTATGGAGTTACCATAAAGATTTGATGATTAAGTTGCAACAAATGCTGGTCTTTTTTTTTTTTTTGAAGAACCTGGTAAATTGTGTTACATGAATGATGTAAATTTGAAACATGATCATCTCTCCAGTCCCCATTGGTTCATACATTAAATACGATGCATAAATTGATCGAGGAGTTCTGGTTGCATGGAACCACATACTGCACCTCCTGTGCATGATCTGACAATTTTTGCCTTACATTGTAAATTATACACTAGCAATTTAGAAGTTATGCACTAGAGTAGGATGTTTTTTTTTTTGGAAAATACTGGAAACTTTATTAGAGGCAGAAAAACAGAGATATATTTACATCAAGACAAGATCAAGAATGTGAGTTCAAAAGTTGCTGTCATCCTACTTTCTTTTTGGTGTTGTGGGGGCAGGGGTGTTGCTAGAGGGCCTGGAAGGTTTGGTAGAGGCCTGTGGGAACAAATTTTATGGTGGTTGGAGGGCCTGAACGAGGGTAGTGGAGGTGAATTTGGTATATGATGGCTCAGCAAAGAATCCGTATAGTCGATTCCAACTAGTTTTGTATTGAGGCTTGGTTGTTGTATTGCAAGAAGGTATTGGGTCCTTGATAGAACATTGAGTTAAACAAATCATCGCACATGCTTACATTTACTCGATGCTTCTGAGCATTGACTGGTCGGCTTTTGTCCAGCTCATACAAGTTATGTTACATTTCACATAATTTTTTTTTCCAAATGTTTTTCACTTTCATCCATGAGTTTTTAGATCCTGTCAACAAATATTCTTTCCAAATAACTCTGGCATGCTTACAGGGGGTTCTGGCCTGCTTAAACAGCCATTAGCTATTCTTCTCATCCTTTGAAAACTTTGAACACTGCCTATTTTACATGATTCAGGCGCTTAGTCCTCATTTACTCTTCGCTTTCAATAATTACATGGTTGAAATAAATGATTGTTTTGCATGATTGTTGGTCTGTATCCAGATTCGACTAGCAGAGGCTCAGCAGCAGAAAACTCCATCACAGGATATGAATCCTGAGCAGTTGGAGAAGTTGGCAAAGTTAGAAGGCTGGCGCCAAGAGCTGAAGCTTTTGGAGGGTAAAAAGGCTGAAGAGGCATCATCATGATTGGGGTTTCGTTTTAGTGTGAGAGAACTGGGTAGTGCTTTTTCATGAAGATCCAAACGCTTGCAATGTGCAACAAGAGTCACCATTCCAGAATTTGTCAACCATGGCGCTTCAATTTGCTGCAACCATTTTGGTTTGGAAATCATAATTCTTCTTTGTTGATGAGGGACCATTATGCCAGATATATGCAAACTGCAGCAGCCATATATCCATTATTTTCGAATCAGTTTCTGTGGTCACGGTTCAAGTGTGATTTTTTACAGCATACGTTCAAGGAAATCAAACTCTTCTCTTGTGCCTGTATGACATGCCACCCTAGAGCGAGTTGTTAACCGTCTAGTCGAATGTCGTTGGGACTTTTTTCTGGGATATTCTTGCTTGGTATGAATGTTAATTCTTTTTAGATATTTACTAGTCAGTCTGTGCTAGCGGTCAGAATTTCAAGTTATTTTTGAACCGTCGAAGGAGGAGAAGAAGGTGGTGTTTAAGGAGGAGAAGGTGGTGTTATAGATGTGGTTCTGGTGCCATAAAATTTGTTAGTCGGAGAATGAGAAGATGATGTTTGAGGATAATATAATGAATTCAAAAACACGTGTTTTCTGGGGCCATAAACTTTGTTAATCGTGGATTGAGAAGATGATGTTTGAGGATAATATAATGAATTCAAAAATATATGAAATAATAAATTGTAGAAGGAGTTGTAAATGCTAATTAAATATTAAAGTAGTAAGTTGATTCTTCCAGAAAGAAGTAAAAAATAAATTAATATGCAAATATTTTGTAAGTTTAGGCTACAGAGACAGAGCAATAAACTATGTAAAAAAATTCACAGTAACAATTTTTTTTATCCTTAATGAATATTTTGTGATATATATATATATATATATATATATATATATATATATTTTAGTACCACTTGGAATTTTTGGTATATTTGTCAACTTTAATCTTGAATTTACACATCTTTATTGTATCGAAAAATAAGCTTATTTTTATAGTAAATTTTTATTCAATTTAACTTAACGGGTTAATTCATTGAACACGGTTTGGTTTGGTAACACAATCTTTTTTTTATTTATCTTTTATTCAAAATAAAATTAAAATTTATTTTGATCCTAATCATTTATGAGACCACATCTTGTAGTAATTTTATTTACACCCCCCCTTTTTTTTAATAAACAAGAGTGCAAATAAATAAGATATACCTTAATTCCTAAATACTTTCAGTTTTTGAATATCTATCATGAATTTGTCTTAAACCTTTAATTTTCTTAACATATTAATAACCTCTAATATAACCTCATTGAATGTGATATCCCATTCTTTTCCAATTAAAATCCTCTTAGATAATTTATGTTCTTGTCATTTTATTTGTGATCTTGTTAGAGTTGATAACTTCTATCTCTCAAATTATATTTGATTAATATCTTAAGATGTTAAAATTATATATAAAAAGAATAAAACATGTTTGTTGAAGGAACGAAAACAAAAATATAAAAATAAATTTGTCTCTAAAATAGTATTAAAATAAATTTTTATTACTTCAAAAAAAAAAACAATAAAAAAAAATTAGTCCTAAATTGTTTTTTCTCCCTAGCCCTTTGTATTGTGAAGTCATGAGTACTTAGCTCTGAAAAATTAACTTCACCCACTAAAAATCCATGCTTTCCAATGCCTTGAAAGATCTTCAATGCTTCTTTGTTAAATTACATGTATGTTCCTCTATTTTTTTTTTTTAACTATTTTCTTTATTTACTCACATTTTCTTTTTACCAAAATATCATTTTGCTCACATCATAACCCTTTCCTACTCTCAAAACGAACCTCACCTCTTACGTAAATTGATTGCATAAATAGATAATGATAGCATGATCTTAGTATAACACTGAAACTATTTGGATTACATCTCCATCCGCAAAGTCATCAGTTCTCTATTGCATTATCCATAGATAATAATCAGTTATTTAACTCATATTTTGCTGCGGGTCGGATAATATTTTTAACTAAGATTTGCTGCGGGTCGGATAATATTTTTAACAAAAAACAAATAAATATGCAAACTTCTTATTTTTTTTAAATTTAATTATAAATTAAAAAGCCTATGCATGAAGTTAATTATATATATTAAGAACCATTTGGGCAAATAAATACAAAAAATAAAGTGTTAACGTGTCTATTAAACTTGTCTAGTTGCTAGCCGAACAATTTCTTTTCTAACGCAAAAGGCTTAATGTGTAGGTGCTATTAACATGTTTTTTGATATCAAGTAACAAATATATCTGTGAATCAAAAAGTCGATACTTTCATATAATAAAATATAATAAAGATCATATACATTAATAAAAATATGTAAGATTTCATGCTATTTTTTAACGTATCAGAAAAAAAGAATAATACTGCAATTGTTATAGTAAAACTCCATTTTCTTAGTCTTTGTATAATAATGTTTAAAAAAAAAAGTGTACAGAAAATTTTTTTTAAATTACAAAAGAATAAAAGAATGGTATAAATAGATCAAGAATAGAGTGATAAATATTCAAAATGTAAAAAATAAAAAATAATTTTTTTTTTCAAAAAAATAGAAAAAAACTAAAAAAATATTATCCAAAAAAAAGATGATAACAAGATCAAGTATAAAATGATAAAAGTGCAAAGTATAAAATGAAAGAAATATAAGGAAAACAGAACAAGGAACCCCTAAAATTATAATTAAAAAATAGTAACATTTACAATTTAAAAATTTCTATAAGAATATATCATTTTATTGTAGTATATACTACTT